AGTAACTGGAACAGTCATAAATGGTCATAGTAACTGGAACAGTGTGGTTCAGGTTTTAGTGTTTAAGTTCAGTTCAGTTTAGTTTAGCTCAGTTCAGTGTGATTTAATCATTACTGAGAGTTCAAACACTGAAGAGCCAATTCAAACATTGAAAGTACAAAGCACTCAAATACAGTCTGTGTTAGTAATTGAAGTGATTGAAGATGAATTCAATCACAATTTTACTGTGTTAGTAAACACAAGGCTATTGATGAAATCCAGCAGCACACTGTACTGACACAGTTCAGATGACTGTTCTAGAGCAGGGGTGGGCAAACTCGGTCCTGGAGGGCCGGTGTCCTGCACAGTTTTGCTCCAACGCTAATTAAACGCACCTGAACATGCTAATCAGTGTCTTCAAGATCAGTAGAAATCTTTAAGCAGGTGTGTTTGATTAGAGGTGGAGCTAAACTGTGCAGGACATCGGCAATCAGCCGGAATCAGCTGAGGTGAAGTGACGGCGACCAGCGAGACCTAGCTGTCACTCAAGTGGCCACGCCCTTAATTATGCAGACGTGATATAACTTAATGGATGAGTTATTAAAAATTCACCCTCTCACAGTTGTCATGAAGGAAAATATTACCCATATAAACCAAAATTGTTCTTTGTAGCAGGCTGTAAACAGCTTTTTTCTGCTGTACAGTTGGCCGTTTTAACAGTGGGCTCAATAGAAATCTGCTGTATATGGATGCAGGACTAGCGGAATTTTAATGGATTGCAGTTTCAGTTACGTCCGTATTGGCTTCACGATGGAGAGCGGGAGGTTGCCGCTTGGTGCACACCATATCTAGACTATGTGTTAGGACTGCGTTGTTTTGTGTTTTTGATTTTGATTCTAGATTGGGGGCGTGCCTTCAGCGCACCTGATACTGGTCAGCGCCCTTATTTAAACCCCGGCAGAGAGTTTGTCGGGGCCGCTGTCCATTCACTTGGCAGTTGGCCAGAGCCGCGCTCCTATTTGGCCTTTGCTTTGCTTTGTTTCGCATCCATACATTATCACTGACAACATTTACAGCATCCATACATTTGCATTTCACACTGATTGAACATACTGATACTGATATTTTGATTATATAATTTATATTGAGCTTAATAAATATTCTTTTTGATTATACTTCTCCTTGTCGTCTCCCTCATTATGTTACATCCTTGAGCCAGGTGTAACACTATGCTTCAAATCAAAAATACATCTTTAAAACTTACACTGAGTGATGCTTACTTCTACACTTGTGTGTTAGACATTGTATTTTTCTGCGTGTTGTGAGATTTATGTCACGTGATGTCTTAACTCATATGTCGATTCACAGGGGAATTTAGACACTAATGATCAGGGATCAAGAAACGAGTATGTACAAAATGCTAGCAGGGTATCACAACTGAAACAAGAGCAAAAGTAACGTCAAATCAGCGCAAAATCATACAACACAAGCCAAAAACACACAAATTAAAGCTGCAAGCAGCGATGACAGGGACCTTGCACCCGGGCTCACTGCAGCCCGGTGGCCTTAGGATGACGGAGAAGAGCAAACAACAATAATTTAAGCTGGTATATATAAAGAATCCTGAGAAAATCACAGATTTATGCCAAACTTACAGGACTGTTATCAAGTGTGTGAATTTTGAGGCAGATAGGATAATGCATGCCTGAGTTATAACTACTTCCTGTTTCGTGGTGAATCATTAAAGTTTGCGAGTCCGCTGTGGACACGCCCTTCAATGAAAACTGTAGATCTTGGCAATTTAACATCGCCAAGGCCTTTAGATGACAAAAACCAATTTTGGTGTTGATCGGATAAAATCCCTAGGAGGAGTTTGTTAAAATACAACGCCTGGAAATGGCAAAAACGCCACTTTTTCGCCGCAGGAAATTAAAAATATCAGACTTCCTGTTGGGTTTGAGATTCCGCTCCAAGATACTTTTTTGTAGGTTTTGGCGTGTTTGGGGTGTGTGCCATTTCCGTGCGTGTTTAGGATTCGTAGCTGGGGGGCCAGTCCGTCAAATGTGCATGGGTGGCGCTGTTGTGTCATTTTGCCACGCCCACTTCTGAAACCCATAACAAACGTAAATTTTCACCACTTCTGGGGCGTGTGCAAAGTTTCGTGAGTTTTCGGGCATGTTTAGACCCTCAAAATCGCGATTTATTCCGCAGAAGAAGAGGAAGAAGAAACAGAGCAATTCCAATCCGCTTGTCCAATTGCCACAGCAGAATGAACCACCAACTATTCCCGCATATATTTTATACAACGGATGCTCTTCCAGCTGCAATGAATACAGGGACTAAGCCAAATAAAATGAACGAGTTAATGAATTTTAGCCGGTATTCTGTATACTGTGTGAGTGTATCTTTAATATATATCTATATTAACTGATACTATATAATTAAAATATATCACTAATGTTATTACAGCTAGTTTGAGTCTGGATGCTTCCTGTTTACTTGAGCGTTTCGGCTGCAAATGATGAAAATGCTGTCATTTTTGGTTATCCTCGTGCACGCTGGGATGTTTAATTATCTGAGATGGAGCGCGCACGCTTCCTCAGAGTGCCTTTCTGGGCATGTTTGTGTGTGTGTGACTTGCAGCTGTAACCCCAGTAATGTGAGTAGTCTAATGAGAGGAGACAGATCTGTACTTACGGCATTAGTTCGCTTGGCTCAGTGTCCCAGCAAACACAGACCCACCCCGGCTTGATGCATTCTGCTTATCCGCCCTGTCTGCGGAAACACCGGAGAAGAGACGAATCGCTAATTCGCTAATAACAGACACTCATTTGATGCATTTATTGTCATTGATGGAAATTTAAAGATTACATATTTGTCTACTTTTTTAATTCATTGAGATTGTTTACATAGGCTGCTACTTCTTAACGTAGTATCCTAAGTAATATACTGGATTGGAACACTACACATGCTCAATCAAGAATGCCAAACTGGACTTATTATATTGGAGTGTAATGTTTGCTCGGAGACCATCAGAAATCTTTGATTGCTTGATTGACTGTAGAAGTGCGTTCCATTTCCTTAAATTACACATGCAATAATCATGGCTTAGTTTATCCAAGATGGTTAATACTCGACACACAATCATACTTTTATTTTGAACCAGTCACAGCAATGCAAAGATGCTGCTGATGAGATCTTTTAAAAATTAAAATAACAGATTTGACAAAATCATATCCATTGACCAGAATAAAAAGCACAGTGGGCCAGATTTTATGATAATAATAGAAATGATATATATATATATATATATAAATGACATTGTGGAAAGAGAAAAGAAAAACTTTTAAGATTATTATTATACAGAAGTCACATTTTATTATTGCATTTAAAATAATGTCAAATATAGGTAAATAAAATTAAACATTAACCTTACTCCAAATAAATAAATAATTTTTATTTTTTTATTTTATTATTTTATTTGGTCAATTTATTAATTTATTATTTTATTTATTTATTAAATAATTAGTTGTATTTATTAATCAAATATTTAATTAATTTATTTATTTATGGATCAATATAATTATTTTATAAAAAATAAATGTATAAAAATATTTATAAAAAAATTAATAATTTATTTATGGATCAATCTATTTATCTATCTATCTGTCCGTCCGTCCGTCCGTCCGTCCGTCCGTCCGTCTATCTATCTATCTATCTATCTATCTATCTATCTATCTATCTATCTATCTATCTATCTATCTATCTATCTATCTATCTATCTATCTGTCATCTCATTTATCTATTTATTAAATAATGAATTAATTTATGTATTTATTTTTTAAATAATCATTATTTAATATTATTTAGTAATTTATTAATTTATCAATAATTTATTTTAATTATTATTTAATTAATTTATTTATTTATTTATTAATAAATCCACCAATTAACTTATCAATCAAATAATTTATTTATTTAATAAGTTATTAATTTATTATAGATTAATTATTATTATTATTATTATTATTATTATTATTATTATTATTAAATTTTTATGAATCAATTAATTAATTTATTTATCAATCAAATAACTTAAATTTTTATTTATTTTTTTTATTAATTTATTTGTCAATTAATTAAGTAATTAGTTAATTAATTCATTCATTCATTCATTCGTTTTTTTCATTTATTAATTTTTAATGTATTTTTTTTATCAATCAGTTAAAATATTATTTCATTTATTTGTTTATTTATTTATTTATTTTTTTTAAGCCTAGTCAGGGGTCACTACAGCGGAGTGAACCGCCAATTTCTCCAGCATATGTTTTACACAGCGGGTGCCCTTCCAGCCACAACCCATCGCTGGGAAACACCCATACATTCTCATTCACACACATTCCATACAGACAATTAAGCTTACCCAATTCCCCTATAGCACATGTCTCTGGACTTGTGGGGGAAACTGGAGCACCCGGAGGAAACTCACGCCAACACGGGGAGAACATGCAAACTCCACACAGAAATGCGAAGGCGAGAACCAGCGACCTTCTAGCTGTGAGGCGAGAACGCTACCCACTGCGTCGCCCATTTATTAATTAATTTATTGATTTATTAATTATTTTAAATACTCAATTATTAATGCATTAATTTAATTAAAATTTAAATAATATAATTTATTTTTATTTATTTATTTACTCATTCATTCATTCATTCTTTCATTTTCGTTTTGTCTTTGAGTTCGCCACAGCCGAATGAACCCCCCACAGCAGTGGCACTCATTATGAACCTCACTTAATATAAATGTGGGCGTTTGACACAAATTTAAATATATAATGAAAATATGCAAATGTGGTGTATAATAGATGAATGTATATATCATTGACATCTGAATTATCTGAAGGGTTTACATTAGCACATCTTTCGGAATAATTCACCCATTGACTTTTATTGCACCAGGAGCATCTCAACGTTCCCACGACTGAAATAACCCTCACCTTCTCTGTCTCTTTGTTGTGCAGGACTCAGATCAATTTCACAGTGGCGATTGATTTCACAGCTTCTAACGGTGAGTGCCGTCTTCATCAGGAATTTCTGAAATGTATGCAGATGAGGCATGAAAAAGGGCCGGTAATAGCTGTCCTCTGTCATAATGAGCGAGGTTTAATGCAATAAAGAGCTCTGATGTGTGCGATTATACCGAGAGGCCTAGCCTTTTTCATTCATCTGCGGATTCAAAGGGAATACCACAAAACCGTCTGAATTACAGGGCCATCCTCGACTAACCTATTTCATAAGTTTCAGATTCATAATATCAGCCTTGCAGAGCGCTCAAAGAGTAAAGAGAGGAATAAAACCTTCATCAAATGAATGTCTTTTAACTCTTTTAGCCTTAAAGGAACTCTCAACTTCATTGGAAATAAGTCCTCCTAATGTAAACGGTTGAGTTTTACTATGTTTTAATCCATTCAGCTGGTGTCCGGGTCTGTCAGGAGCATTTTTAGCATAGCTTAGCATACATAAATGAATCGGATCTCACTCGATTTATTATTTTAATTATTTAAAACTCTCATTGTGGCATAATAATCAAGGAACTTGACCTGAAGATGGTCCCCAGCTAGGTAACCAGGTCACAGCGCTGCATAATATTGCACCTGCATGGTACGGCAGTGAAGTTTCTTGATTATTATGCCAAGATGGAAGAATACTTCATTATCTGTAGCCTTCCTAGCTATACCAACTTTTAATTTTCTGTCAGAGTCTAGCTTCACATAGGAAAATGATAAAAAAATAATCGTTTTTTTAATATGCTAATGGTCTAATCCGATTCAATGATTAATGCTAAGCTAAGCTAAAAGTGCTGAACTTTTGGGAAGTTGTGAAATGAGCCATTTCCCCCCACAAAAAGTGGTTTGTTCCTGTAAAAAGCTATTTTTGAGCTTATGCGTATAAAAATGTTACCATGGTAATGTCATATAATGCTGAAGCCCTATTGGACGCTTCATTTATTTCTGTAACACTTTCTGATTTTAGCTTAGCATAAATAACTGAATCGCATTAGACCATTAGCATCTCACTGGATTTATTATTTTAATTAATAAAAACTCTCATACTGGCGTAAGAATCAAGAAACTTGACCTGAAGATAGTCCCCAGCTAGGTAACCAGGTCACAGCGCTGCATAATATTGCACCTGCATGGTACGGCAGTGAAGTTCCTTGATTATTACGCCGAGATGGAAGTATACTTCATTATCTGTAGCCTTCCTAGCCATAACGACTTTTAATTTTCTGCCAAAGAGTCCAGCTTTAAATAGGGAAATTATTAAAAATCATCTTATTTGACATGCTAATGGTCTAAACTGACTCAATGATTGATGCTAAGCTAAGCTAAACTAAAAGTGTTGAACTTTTGTGAAGTTGTGAAATGAGCCATTTCCCCCCACAAAAAGTGTTTTGTTCCTTTAAAAAGCTATGTTTGAGCTCATGCGTATAAACATGTTACCATGGTAATGTCATATAATGCTGAAGCCCTATTGGACGCTTCATTTATTTCTGTAACACTTTCTGATTTTAGCTTAGCATAAATAACTGAATAGCATTAGACCATTAGCATCTTACTGGATTTATTATTTTAATTAATTAAAACTCTCATTCTGGCATAAGAATCAAAGAACTTGACCTGAAGATAGTCCCCAGCTAGGTAACCAGGTCACAGCGCTGCATAATATTGCACCTGCATGGTACGGCAGTGAAGTTTCTTGATTATTACGCCGAGATGGAAGTATACTTCATTATCTATAGCCTTCCTAGCCATAACGACTTTTAATTTTCTGCCAAAGAGTCCAGCTTTAAATAGGGAAATTATTAAAAATCATCTTATTTGACATGCTAATGGTCTAATCCAATTCAATGATTGATGCTAAGCTAAGCTAAAAGTGCTGAACTTTTGGGAAGTTGTGAAATGAGCCATTTCCCCCACAAAAAGTGGTTTGTTCCTGTAAAAAGCTATTTTTGAGCTTATGCGTATAAAAATGTTACCATGGTAATGTCATATAAAGCTGAAGCCCTATTGGACGCTTCATTTATTTCTGTAACACTATCTGATTTTAGCTTAGCATAAATAACTGAATCACATTAGACCATTAGCATCTCACTTGATTTATTATTTTAATTAATAAAAACTCTCATTCTGGCATAAGAATCAAAGAACTTGACCTGAAGATAGTCCCCAGCTAGGCAACCAGGTCACAGCGCTGCATAATATTGCACCTGCATGGTACGACAGGGAAGTTCCTTGATTATTATGCCGAGATGGAAGTATACTTCATTATCTGTAGCCTTCCTGGCCATACCAACTTTTAATTTTCTGTCAAAGAGTCCAGCTTTACATAGGACAATGATTAAAAAAATCATATTTTTTTTATATGCTAATGGTCTAATCCAATTCAATGATTGATGCTAAGCTAAGCTAAAAATGCTGAACTTTTGGGAAGTTGTGAAATGAGCCATTTCCCCCACAAAAAGTGGTTTGTTCCTGTAAAAAGCTATTTTTGAGCTTATGCGTATAAAAATGTTACCATGGTAATGTCATATAAAGCTGAAGCCCTATTGGACGCTTCATTTATTTCTGTAACACTTTCTGATTTTAGCACAGCATAAATGAATAAATCGCATTAGAACATTAGCATCTCACTGGAGTTATTTTATTTTAATTATTAAAAACTCTCATTCAGGCTGACGAATCAAGGAACTTGACCTGAAGATGGTCCCCAGCTAGGTAACTAGGTCACAGCGCTGCATAATATTGCACCTGCATGGTACGGCAGTGAAGTTTCTTGATTATTATGCCAAGATGGAAGTATACTTCATTATCTGTAGCCTTCCTAGCCATACCGACTTTTAATTTTCTGTCAAAGAGTCCAGCTTTAAATAGGAAACTGATTTTAAAAATCATCTTTTTTTTATATGCTAATGGTCTAATCAGATTTAATGATTGATGCTAAGCTAAGCTAAAAGTGCTGAACTTTTGGGAAGTTGTGAAATGAGTCTATTTCCCCCCACAAAAAGTGGTTTGTTCCTCTAAAAAGCTATGTTTGAGCTCATGCGTATAAACATGTTACCATGGTAATGTCATATAATGCTGAAGCCCTATTGGATGCTTCATTTATTTCTGTAACACTTTCTGATTTTAGCTTAGCATAAATAACTGAATCGAATTAGACCATTAGCATCTCACTTGATTTATTATTTTAATTAATAAAAACTCTCATACTGGCGTAAGAATCAAGAAACTTGACCTGAAGATAGTCCCCAGCTAGGTAACCAGGTCACAATGCTGCATAATTTTGCACCTGCATGGTACGGCAGTGAAGTTTCTTGATTATTACGCCGAGATGGAAGTATACTTCATTATCTGTAGCCTTCCTAGCCATAACGACTTTTACTTTTCTGCCAAAGAGTCCAGCTTTACATAGGGAAATTATTAAAAATCATCTTATTTGACATGCTAATGGGCTAATCTGACTCAATGACTGATGCAAAGCTAAGCTAAACTAA